ATTATGACAAGGTAATGTTTAATTTATTATATTATATGAAGAGTTAACTCCGTTTTTTTAAATTGTCAAAAATCATATTTTTATTGTGTTAGTTAGCTGTTTTTTAAAGTAATTTTTTAACCTAGTCAAAATAACCCAACTGCAGTTTGATTGAGATGAACTGGAATGCACAATGAAAAAACACGATTTCTCAGAATTGTTAAAAACGGAGTAATCTGCTTTTGCAAATGAACTCTTCATATATATGTATTACATTTTATATTATCATCTCACACATGGATCGGCATTTTCTATAATGTATTTCTATAATTAAAAAAAAAACATATCTGATATGACTTAATATATACTTATCATCAAACAAACAATATCTTTTTTCGAGTCATTTCGTTCATTTTAACAAAATATAATTAAAATGTTACTTCCCTAATATGTCTACTACTTACGCAAACGTTGATCACACTACAAACAATACAAAACTGCTATAAGAAACAGAAAATATTAATCCATTGTTTACCTGAGTCTTCAGTCTATGATTAGCTCACCTCAGCTCTTATCTGACAAGTCTTCAGGTTTGGGTTTATGGGGCTGTCACGTGATGAACGAACGACTCGGAAAAACCCGAAGACTCGAACCAGGTGAACTACTTGACTAAATTCCAGTACAGAACCTATAGGATGTTGCGCATGCGCGACTGAACGAATCACACCCCGAGACGACTCGTTCTTTCCGAGTCACATTAAAGATTCGTTCAAGAACGACCCAACGCTAGAATGAATTTAGTCCTGGTCGAGTTTTTGGAACCACATACCTCGAGTAAGCAGCTGTTCATTTGAAAGCTATGAAAACAGTATCTTTATATTCGTCCTTTTTGTCTTCTTAAGATGTAATTTTATTACCTTGTTTTTTTTGTGGTTGTTACCCTGGCAACAAATCCGTGTGTATATTCTGTTGTTTTTCTGTTTTTGTTTTTATCTTGTCTTTATTTATGATTTTGATAATTGTACTGCCTTAATGTTTTAATGTTTGTATTGTTTAATAAAAAAAAAAATAGATAAAAAAAACCTCGAGTAAGCAAGGTTTGGGGTTAATCAACCGAGAGTTCAGGGTTTAGTTGACCGTGCAAGCATTAACCGTGCTTTCTGGAATACACCCCAGATTGCCTAATCCTAACCCCACCCTCTGATCCTAACCCCTTAATCCTAAAACCTAACGTTACCAGTACTAGAGGGGTAATAATCTGGCAGGGGTCAGAATTGGGTACAACACCGGAACTATATATGAAATGTGTCATTTGTCTCGCACTACTTTAAACACTCACTATATTGTTATCACAATAGGTGACCTTTTGTTTTGGTTAAATGGTCTTGAGTGTGTGTGTGTAATTAGTGTTGTTCCCGCCCTCTCTCCACACAC